TTTACGAAAAACATAATACACAGGAAAATTGATGAATAAAATTTCTGCACGTGCGTAATAAAAACAGAACCGAGGGTAATATGGTAAAAAAAGGTTTCTACCTTAGAAGTTGAAGATCATGGAGGCTACGAGGTCGTTTAAGGAAGCTGTAATCAGAATCAGGCATGGTGAGATAAACACCGAGAAGACCGACGATAAAGCTCAACGCCACCGTGGAAGCCACCGTAGCTTCGAAAAAGCTCAACGGAAACTTCAACGACGAAGGCTTAGAGGAAGGTTTGATAACGTTTATGATCTCAACGGTGTCGCCGTCTTTTGCCATGTCGGTTTGATTTGATTAGGAGCGGCAACGATGGTAGTTTTTTTCTCTCTTCTCTTCCTTATCTATGTTGAAAGGAGGAGAGAGAGAGAGAGAGAGAAAAGAGAACAATTCGTTTTGAGAGAGAAAGAATATACCTCAATTCTTGGTTGACGTATATATTTATACGACGGGGCTAACAAACTTATAGATGTTGCTGTTAGCGACAATATCGTTTTTCTTAAATATTTTCGGATAATTTGTTTTATTTAATACTTATTTTAAAAGAATGTTAACTTGTATTTATTGTTTTACAAATTCAAAAAGGTAAATTCTTAAATACCTATATAGTCGGGTATCAGTATTTTTAGTTTAAATTGAAATAAAAGTCTAATTAAGATTTCAAATTTAATTAGTGAAGACTTAAATTTTGAGAATAAGAGTGTATAGAGTTTTGTTAGATCGAATTTGACCTAACCTATTATTCAATCTCTTTAAATTTTAATAAATTGAGTTCAATATTCAATTTTTAATTTTATAATTAAAATCAATTCAAAGTAATACGTTGTATATAAAATATAAATATTAATTTTTAAAAAAATAAATTGTGCCACAATTTAGTATAATTGTACAATTTTTCAACTCAATAAATTAGATAAAACATTTCATATAATATTAAATAAATTTTATTTATATATCATATTTGATCTGACCTGATCAGAAATGGACCGTCACGGCTGGCTCCGAGCAGAAAACTTTTTTGAACGAGGTGGGGGGTACCTGCAAGGCACTCCGATGCTGAAGTAAGTAGGAGTACGAGCAGATAATAATAAGTTGAGGTTAGAATGATGAATACCTGACCCTCTGGAAGCAGAGGGTATTTATAGCCTCCAGCGCTGGGCCAAGGTTCCTTCATTGGGCCGGGCAGGTTTGGCCCAATAGAGGAACTGCCAGGTTCTACGTGGGTAGTGGGGACCCGCACGTGGTCCCCTTCCTGGATGTTCTGCGTGAAGTGCGGGCGGACGGAGACGCGGTCTTTCCGGAGTCTCGTTGGGGGAATAGTGGACTGAGTCTGCCCTAGTTGGGATGCTCGAGGCGATGTCGAGCTGGACAGCAGGGTGTCGAGCTGGACATCAGGAGGTGGAGCTGGACATCAGGACGTGGAACTGGACAGCAGGATGTCGAGCTGGGCATCAGGATGTCGGGCACGCCTGTGACCATTTGGTCGGCGTGGTCCTCAGTAAGTCCCTTTGGACTGGACCTTAGCAATGCTTTTGGGCCTGTCGGGCCCAGTCCAGAACAGGAGCCCCCCAAGTCGTGGTTCCTTTGCGAGGAGCCATGACTTGAACCCAAGTTATTCCCTCGTTGAGGTCTCGTGCCCGGGACAGAGGTGTAGGCCCTCGAGGGCCTCCTCGTGTCGTGCTCGGAGACATCTTCGGCGGTGGATGCGCGGAGGATCCTTACCAAGCGCGTCTGTCGGGCACACGAGGTATCTTTCGGGAACTGTGCCGCCACCCTATGGGGGTAGGGTCATCATTGCGTTGGGAGCAGTGCGTCGAGGAGATGGAGTCCGTGGTTGCCCGAGGTGACGTTTGGTATTCCACGTCATCACTATAAATAGGAACCTTGGGCCCTCATAATACGTTTCTACTCTCTGTGCTCTCTCTGCTGCTGCTCTTCCAGATTTTCTCCAGTTGCGACTTTCCGTCACAGATTCTTCTTTTCCGTAGACAAATCCCACTCTTTGATCCAAGTAAGTGATCTATCTTCTTCATTTTTCTGTTTAGAATGCATGATTTCTGGCGTTTGTAGGTGTTTTAGGACCGTGCGCTTGGGATTAGCCCGATAAACTCATGCTTAGCCCGACACATTCATGCTTAGGACCGACAAACGCGTGTTTGTGGCCGGCGCATTCATAGTTTTAGGTGATAAACTTCAGAGCTGCCCGGGGTCTTCATGATCCAGGGCGCCTGATTCATGATCGCGCCCGGTATGTTCATGGTCTTAGCCGTGGGCTTCATGGTGTGGCTCGCCATGTTCATACCCTGGGACGACATGCTTGGGGAGTGACTGCGCAGTTGGTTTGAGGAAGAACATCGGGTTCAGGACGTCGGGGAGGCCACCATTCGTGGAAAACGGACGTATGTAGTCGTGCATGGGACGACGTGATTTGTCGAGCGTATGGCTTCGTGCTCAACTGACTGGTTTCCCGTGCTCTGCAGGTAACCATGGCGGACGAGCCGAGCTCCTCCGGACGCCGCGACCGTGAAGAACAGAGTGCCGACGAGTCGGTCACCCTGATTGATACCGTGACCGACCCTTTGCTGGAATGGGTGGGCGTCGAGCCACAGGGGATAGCGTCGGTCTATAGCCGGGACGACCGACATCCATACGCTGTCATCGAAGAGGGTCAAGACCAGCCCGACTTCCTGAAGAACTTCGTAGTCATGCGCCTGTCATCCCGTGCAAGGATTTGCTCGGTTTATCCGGAATACAGCTTCGTGATGTATGAGATCGCGTTCAAAGACCTAGGGCTGCGGCTGCCCTTCACTGATTTCCAGGCCGGGGTCTTTACGCACCTGGAGCTGGCCCCGTCCCAGCTACATCCAAACTCTCTCGCCTTCATCCGGGCGTTTGAGTTGACGTGTCGCTACCTGAGGATCGGGGCGACCATACCACTTTTCTTCCGGATATTCCACCTGCAGCGTCAGTCCCGAGGAGGGAAACATAGCTGGGTCTCCCTGAAGCAGTCAAGGAGGCTCTTTAAGATGTATATGGACTCCGTGAGGGGGTTTAAAGACAAGTGGTACATGGTGCGGCCAGTTACCACTTCTGCTTTAAATACCCTTTTTGAGGAGGAGGAGCCGGTGAGCGACGAGGACGGGGAGGCGATGTTGGGCGACGATGGGAACCCTGTGTTGGGTCGTACGGCTAAAGTCCCTGTGCACTGGATGTCCCGGCATTACGAGCATGGGACCGGTTATTATCATACTGCCGCCGGGGACATGTGCTCGGAAGACGAGCAGGCATACGACGCTCTTTGCCGGTTTGTCGATAGTTTCCATCCCGCCCGGTGGGTTACGCGGGAAGGGGATGATATCTTGGACAAAGATGGTTACCCAACGTTCGAGTCCCGTCCGATTGACACCAAGGCGCTGGTGGAGTGCCCGACGTACAGGCAGGTTGCCCGCCTGTTAGGTTGTTTGTTGCTCGAAATTCTTTATTCGTCATTTATTTATGAGGTTTGCTCGATACTGACCTAACCTTTATTTTGTGCAGGTACGATGGCTAGTCGACATGAAAGACTCTTGAAATTATCCTGCGACCAGAGGCGAGGCAGGAGGGTCGTGAAGGCCCCACAGGCGACGAGGATGGGCCCACCACACAGTCCGAATGCTCCTCAGCCAGTGAGGGTGGACTCGCCGTCAAGCTCGGGGCCCGCGTCGGATCCAGAAGTCGAGGAGATCGACCCCAGTGCCGTTTTGATGCAGAGGAAGAGGACCCGTGTGGAAGGTGGTCCGACTGTTGGCGAGGACGCCGGTGCTGTTAAATCTTTCGCCTTCCCCCCTTGCTTCGAAGAGGCGGGCTTTTTCGAGCGATTCCCTCCGACAGTGGTTGCCCACGAAGCTGCAGCCATAAAAAAGATGAGTAAAGAGGAACGGAAGGCGTATCTGGCCGCCAGCATGGATGGGCTGGTAAAAATGGCCGAGATGGCTTTGGTGCTATCCGAGGATGGAGGGGATTCTGCCAGTGTTGAAGAACTTGAGCAGGAGAAGGCGGCCCTGACCTCGAGCTCGCGGAAGTTGAAGGTCGCTCTTGAACGCTCCGAGGGGATGTTCCGAGAGCAGACTGCGATGCTCGATGCTGAGAGGGAGATGTTAACCCTGGAGAAGGAGAAGTCGGGGAAGTTGGCTGAGGAAGGGGAGCTTCTTCGGGCAGACAGGGATCGTCTGGTGGCCGAAGTCGAACGCTTGGCCCAACAGGTCGAGGAAATGAATACTGCCCTGCGACCTGCCGAGGACGAGCCCGAGGACATAGTAGCTTTGAAGAGTCGGGTGGAGCTGGTCGCCCATATCCGGCTCCTCGAGGTAGACTGCGTCGGTGCCCTGGAGGACGGGTTCAACTCTGCGGTCGGTCAACTCTCCTTGCTAAACCCTAGCCTGGTCACTGAGGGTATCGGCCACACACATCAGATCGTGGATGGCGTGATCGTTCCTCCGCCCGACTCTCCAAACGCCGACAATGATGATTCCGGGGAAGTCTGAATAGGATAGCGGGCCTGCGTGCCCTTGATATTTGTATTCTTTGGGCCTGTGTGCCCGTTTATTGTACGTTATGAACATCGCCGACCTTCTTGGTCGGTTTATTATTGTTTTGTCGCCTTCGGGCATTTATATCAATGCTGTTTTACATTTTGGATTTTTTGCCCTTGTTTGAAATCATATATTTGCATGAATTTTTAGCCTAAGTCACGGGCCCGAGGAGTGCCCGTAAGTGGCTTTGATTTGGCGAGCGGGTCTGCCCGCCTCCGCTTGTATGCGTTACCGGCCCTATTTCGATTGGCCAGAGTCGCCTAAGTGTTGTGCTCGAGGGGAGAGATTTTCCTTTGACCCTTTTAGATGGCCCGTTATTCTTGATGGAATGTCGGGCATTTTGGAGCGAAGTTGCTCAGTCGGGCGTAGAGCCCGTTGGGGACGATTCGCCCTTGGCGTGAACTGCCCATCGCGAGCTGGGTGTTCTGCCTTATGGGTACAACGACGGTGGGCTCGGTATAGCTGTCCACGTCGGGCACTATCGATCGTCATCGTTTACCGCGCGATGTTGTGCCATTTTGGTCGTACGTCGGGCTTGTACCTTAGCCTTATACGAAATTGGACGTTTTTCCTCGTTGACCGAGTGCGGGTGCTGCTGGTCGAGGGTCCCAGGTGTTGATAGTTTCTAACTGTAGTACTGCTTTAGCTTAGCAGCATTCCAGGGTCGTGGTAGTGGCTCTCCGTCTAATTGCTCGAGGTAGTACGCCCCGG